ATGGTCTGGGTTCTGCATTATTTGGTATACCAAGATCAAGTCTCCTCGAATGCGGCGATGCTGTGTGGAGTACAGTTGCAGTGCTTCCAATCTTTCCGCATAACTCTTGGAATGCAGTCCTTTGACCATTTTGGTAGCCATTCTTTGTGGACGTTCCAGAATCTTCTGATCGCGTTGCAGCCATGGATTCCATGCTTGAATGGCGTACTCTATGTGGGTTCGAATGTAGGCTGATAATCGTGGGAACAGCGTAGGTTCAAATTTGCCAAATACTCGTTTTAGCAAATCAACATGTCTTACAGCGGTAGACGACGCCCAGGAGCAGTTTAAAGAACAGCTTAGGTCGTCTTGAACAACGACGCCGAGATCCTTCTCATTCGAGACGTACGGAATTTGTTGATCTCCTAGGAAATACGGAAACCGAGGTGATTGATTCCAAGTACCGCAGCTCGCGGAATGTGAGCCAATCAGATCTGATCTATCAACCTGTGACAGCAGGGTCTTCAAATTTGGGCCGTGCTACATTTTGTGCTCCAGCGGATAATTTATCATTTTTTTCGTCACACTGAATTTAATTGTTTGAATCAATTTTTCTTTCATCGCTTTCATGCTTGCGTACGAATTTGAAACATTACGTACTATCGCGCAAGTGACATTCTCTATCAATTCAGTTGTCAAGTTAAAAATAGATACAAAAGATGCAGACCTTCTGGGTCAGGTTTCCTCAGAAGTGGCTTCAAGTAACACAAAACTTCAGAAACTGTGTATCCTTTCTCTCACATACGACCACTATTTGGAAAAACGAGCGACTTCACGAAACTGGTAAGGACGAAAAAAATGCCACGCATTGAGGACAATTATGCGGCAAGAAACGTGATTGCATCCTGACATCCACGACTCTTTGGTTGAGCTGGAATTCTTTGGTATGCATCGGTTGGATAAAGAATGTTTACTACGAAATCAAGGCGGTGGTCTAATAACCTACATCAAATCGTTTTGGTGTAAGTCTGCAAGATTATCTTCACCTACAACGCAGGATATATATCATGCCTTTCGGTTGAATGTAAACCCGTTTCCGTATTAAATGTCGCTCCATCGTGGCGTCATAGCCCCTTCCAGTACAACTTCTGATATACAGACGTTTGCTGATGTATTTATGTCCGAACTTCCTAACTACACGGAACGCTCACTTTTTATTGTCTGTGGCGATTTTAACCGTGCAGATATTCACTTCTTGACTTGTCCCTCCCTCTCCACAATCTTGTAGAATTCTCCACAAGAGGAAACGCGCAGCTGGGTCTCACGTTTTCCAACGAGCCTGACCTGTTTGCTGTGCGAAGAGGAGCCCCTCTAGCAAACTCCGATCATTGTATCATAACTGTTACTCAAAGAAACCTCATAGCACACTGATAAGTACATCTAGCCGGAAGATCTTTCATAGGCTGTGCGACCCGGCACACTTGGTATCACTGAGAGAAATGGTCTCTGGTGCAAATTTTGATCAGTTCTTTGATCCAAGTGTCTCGGTCGAGTGTGAACACCTCACAAGCTATTTGAACTTCGCCTTTGACATCTGCTGCCCCACGGTCCCTATTTCCACCAGTCCGCCAGATTTTCTTCTCCCACTTTAAAGACCCTCAGAAGAACCAAGAAATGGGTATATAAAAATCGTGATCAAATTTGAGCTAAACAAACGTTGGTGTTGATCAAGAATGAGATCCAAAATCTTGACAAACTCTACACTGAAACCCTACCTGGCGACCGTGATTACAAGCAAATCTGGAGCGCTATGAAAAAGCAATGTTGAATAAAAGTCAGACTACGCGGGCCTCCACCCTCAGCAGATGAACTCAAATGCATGTTTTCCACGTCCATTCAAACTGAAGTATCGTAGCCATATTTACAATCAGTTGACCATCTTGAAGTTTCGCATGTCAGTTGCAATCAGGTGCGGGCACAGCTGAAGTGCCTCAAAATGTCAAAAGCTTCCGGTCCCGGCGGACTATGTCCAGACGTCCTCACGGAATGTACGCACTATCTGGCCGGTATTTCCAACCGCTGCTTCGAGGAACAAAAAATTGCCGACTGTTGGAGACCTATGCGCATCACACTAGTCCTCCAAAAAGAAGCTGGGGAATTACGACCAATCGCCCGTACTTCTATTTTACTAAAAATTTTCGAAAAGTTTATGCTTAGAAACATTATTCCCAACACTGGACTACTAGATGACAACCAATTCGCTTATCGCAAACAGCCTTTACCTTAGGTGCTCTAGCGCATTTGGTAAACTCGGTTCTGCTATCCCTAGACATGCACGGCGGGGCATTTCGTGTGTTTCCTCGAGTATAGTAATGCTTTTAACTGTGTTGACAGGAGCAGGCTTTTGTCACTACTCCAAGGTGTTGGATTGTCCCATACTACCCTCTATCTACTCCAAGATTATTTTGCTGGTAGAACACAATTCACGAAGTTTCTTGGAAAAACCTCCGACTCCGTACCAGTCAACTCAGGAGTTCTCCAGGGAGCAATTCTGTCCCCGTTTCTTTTCTCTTTCTATATTCGTGACCTTCCCACTAACCCAAATGATCTTCTCATTGAGTATGTTGATGATGTCATGATATGTTCCAAATTCCAAGGTAATTTCCGTTTCTCATATCTTCAAGCCAGTTTATCTGCCTTAAACTTATGGTCTTCGTCTTCCAAGTTATCTCTCAATGCCTCTAAATATAGGAATGTCACCTCACTCGTCAAAGAAGAACGGTGACATTCTTTTGAAAGAAATTGTTCTGCACTTTATGTTGACAACCAGCCTGTTCCCTCAGTAAACTCTCTACAATACCTCTGTGTCACTCTGTCAAGATCCCACCTGGACCTAACGTTTAAATTCTACTTTTGTAAAGATTCGATGATTGTGTTTCTTTATTTCCCGCTTGCTTTCTTTGAAAGTTCCACTGTATTTACTCACCTGATTTGCATATTCTTGTGTTTTCACTTATCTTCCTTACTGCTCCCCAGTTTTATTTGCCAGGTTTAGAGTTTGAGATTACACAATTCTACGCCAGTCTATTAAAGTTATTTCTTGCACAAGCGGTATTACTTATTTGCGCCTGCTTAACTTTAGCGCCGATAAACATTTTACCTCTTGCGATAACTTTTGCAACAATATTCTATCAGACACCATTACTCCATCCATTACTCACTGAACTTAGCTAAATTATAAATTCGTGTATGCTCGTATCACTGCCTATCGT